CGAAGCGCGAGGGGTGCGGGTAGGTGGCAGCCTCGTTTCGCTGGGGACAGAGAGGAACAGATGTTAAGAGGGGCAGAGCGTCCTGAGGTCACCATTGACATGGACATAGCTGCAGCCCTCCTGGCAGCAACGTACCCAAGAGCGGGCATTAGCCTGGCCCTGGTAGCAGGGCCACCCTGCTGGGACAGGGGACACCCAGTGGGGGACCCAAAGGGAAGGGGGCCAGGGAACTCCGCAGGGGGCACCCCATTCTGCACCAAACTTGGTGTTGCTTGGGATTAACAGAGTTCCTGGTGTTGCAGGGGAACACACAGCTATGCCAAGCCCAGGCAGCAGCATCCAGCCACATTCCAGCATCCTGAGCTGGTCCCTGGGGCATCCTGGCCCGAGGCTGCCCCGTTTCCTGGGGCAGGGCAGGTAGGAACCCTTTGGAGCCTGGGTTGGACTAGGAGCCCAGCCGAGGCACCCGGCCCCTGCCGGGGGGACTGTGGGGATCAGCCCTACCAGGGAGCCATCCACCCTTGCCCAGCGACGCGCTGAAGCCAGGCATTACCTCACCATGACGGCCTCCCTTTGGCCCCGCACCCCATAGGGTCAGCGAGGGGACGCTGCCTCACCACCACCATCACCACCGCCACGCTGCAGGGGGCTGCCCCTGCCACGGGGCAAGGTCCCGGATGTCCCTGCCGTCTGCACCATGGCCATCGGCCCCCGGCCCCTTGGGGCAGCTCTGCCCCTGCCTGGGGGGCACTACCAGGCCCCGCAGCAGCCCCTGCTCCTGCATCCCGAGGAGTGCATTGCTCCCGCGCCTCCCAAGGCCCCCGTGCCCCCACCGCTGCCAAAGGCCAGGCACCAGCGACCCGTCATTTGGCCAGCATCACCCTGGGCACAGCTCCCGCTCCACCAGCCTGAACGGCCTGCACAGACCCACATGGTGCCTCCCCATGCTCTGCTCCCCCACAGAGCTGTGGGGAAGAAACACAGCCCAGGGAACGGTGCTAAAATTCCTCCTTGCTGCAGGGAAAATATGCAAGACTGACCACAAGGGAGAGAGCCTGGGCCTGGGATGCCGGCAGGAGAGAGGGACCCTGGGCACACGAAGCCCAGAGACACCCTCAGCCCAAGGCACCACTGCCAGGTGTGGGGAGATGGCCATGCCATGGCCCTATTGCCAAGGCCACCCTGCTCCCCGGCATCCCAAAACAAGGCACCAGCAGCTCCACGGATGTCCCTGGCTGCGCAGAGGGCCGCGCTGGTATATGCGCCCACTCCCTCCCTCGGCACAAAGGCAGCCGTGGAAGAAAGCCCTGGAGCGACCAGGACTAGCAGTCCCTGCTCCCCATGGCACCCACAAGGAAATGCCTCCGTGGCACTGGAGCTGCCAACAGAGCTGGGGACCTTCGCAGGGCTGGCAGATACAGAAGGGACCTGCCAAGGCCCATCGGGGCAGCCCCTGGTCACCCACAGCCCTCTCTGAGGGGACGGTTAGGACAGGCCCGGCTCTCAGCACCCTGGTCCTGCTCAAGGTGTGCAGGAGCGGGACGCAGAGAGGGACACGGTGGGGGTGTTGGTGCCTTCCAGGCCCTGCGCCTCAGCCAACCTTTCCCCAAGTTCATTACCTGCGTCCCAGCTGTGGCGCGCACGCTGCAAACAGCCCCCTGCCTTGAGCAGCTAAGAGACCCCGAGGCAGGTCTGCTGCAAGTCTGGCTGCAGCCTTCTCTCTTCATCCCTCCCTCCCTAAATCTCCCTAGTCCCACCAAACTTGGAGCGGGGAACACAGAGTGGCACAAGCAGGTCCAGGCTGGAAAAGTCCACCCAGAAGAGACCTTGTGAAGCTGCTCCAGGCTCCTCTAAGCACCTGCTCTGTCATCGCTCCCAGCTCCCTTCCGTCATCTCTCCCAGCTCCTGCCACTTGTCACATCAAAAAGCGTTGCCATAGCAATGCTCCATGTGTTGCTGATGGAGAACGGTTGCCTCCTGGCCAGGACACCCCTTCTCCCTGACCTTCCTCTCCAGGGTCCCCACTTCCCTCCTCCTTGCCCCATGGGGGGCAGGGAGGGTGGGAAACGAGGACCTACAGGGGGGTGTCCAGGACAGCACCCTCCAGCCAAGCCTTATTCTGACACCATGTCCCCTCCACAAGCTGGGAACATGGGAGCAAGGCGGCCTCCAGGCCCCGGTCCTCCTGGGAACACCATTCCTGGTGCCCCAAAGGAGCCCTCTCAGAGCAGATGGCTCCTGCTCCATCCCTGCTCTTGGCTGCTTTGACATTCCTGTTGGGAATGGCAGTTTCCCTGCAGATGTTTTTCGATTTTTTTTTTGTTTGTTTGTTTGTTTTTTTAAACCCAGCAAAGGGCCTAGGCCTGCAGGCATCTGGACCAGGCAACATCACTCCAGTGAGCAGAAGGTGTCCCTGGTCAGTCCCACATGCAACCCACCCCAAATAACCGCAGCCCCTCCTCAACACAGCAGCCCTCGTTGCACTCTCATGGGGCCCATCACCAGCCCAGAGCCCTCCACTCCATAAGCCACAAGGCAAATTGCTCATGAAGACCCCCTGCGCTGAGGGGCTTGGATGCAGCGCACTTGCCAGATGTGTCCCCAAGCCGCGGCGCACTCGGACTTGCTCCCGGCCACTGCGGGCGCGTGTTGCATCCCAGCAGGTGAGTAAAGAAGGCTCCTGCCTTACTCTTACCTGCCCCACTCCCGTCTGCACGATCTTCAGGCCCAGCTCTGCCTCCAGCTCTGCCTTCACCCGCTCTGCAGAGAGCAAGAGTCAGGGATGCTCTCCCACTCTCAAGAGTTGTCCCCAGCCCTCCTGGAGCAACCCCCCTGCAAGGCAGAGCTAAGGGACACCCTGGTCCCCCTGATGGCCCCATGCCAGATCTCCAGCCAAGAGCACTGGGGTGCATGGGGGGAGCCCTGTTCTCCCACTACACCCTTGGGACCCCCTCCCCAGCCCCACTCACC